ATCCGGGCGTATTTTGTGAACGCTCCCCTTGGGAGCGTTCACAAAATACGCCCGGATGCACACTTTTCACCCAAAGTCGTTTAGAAATGTGGAGTGAATTGCCTAGGTGAATCGATTTCTCCGTTCGTAAAATTCACTCGGTCGTTAAATATTTCACCCCGCTTTGTAGCGGTGTGTTTAGTGCGTACATGCGCATTGGCATATTTATTTAAAATATTTTTGAGGTTATGTTAACGGTAAAGTTTGCCGGGTAAACAGTTAATTTTACATAAGAAGAATACACAAACACTGTCAAACAGTGCAACAAAATGGAAAAAATAGATCCCGACAATTTTCTTGTGGTAAGAAGAGAAATCGGGAATTCATCATCACTACTATCCACTGCAGAGTTGTAATTAAAAAAGATGATATATGATATCGCATAGATAACAAAGCCTTTAAATTTATCGTAACTACAGATGCAACGGATCCCGCTGTGATATCCAATTAATTGTCATAAAGATAAAGGTAAACTATAAAAGTCTTTGAAAAGGTTAATTTTACTTTTATTTAAAAACGGTTTTAGACAAAAAAAAGAAATGGATATCACAGCGGGATCCGTTGCATCTGTAGTTACGATAAATTTAAGGTTAATTTTCAGTTTGACATTTTATATTTAAGCCGCAAAACACTCTAGTCCGTTCCAATATCGACAAAACGCTCTGGTTACCTGGGTAAATCACACCAATCAAAACACACTTTTTATCTGAACGCACTCCTTGAAAATCTTAAACTAAACACACTGGCAACCATAGAAAAAGCTGGCAACGTTGTCAATAGCCTAGTGACGTATTTAGGAGATTTTTTTTTGTAAATATCTCGAAAACGGTAAACTCAATTAAAATTCCGATTTCACAGAAATGTTTAAAATTACAAAACGCCTTGAATAAATCCATAAAAAGTATAGGTCAGAAAAAATTTAACTACCCCATTCGTTAAGGGCTGAGCGGGTTGGCTTCGCACTGGGTGCAATATAAATTCTAAACCGGCTGATATACCTACTAATTGATTTATGATATGCTTTCTTTATTTTTGACATAAAATATAAACTATATTATTTTTTATTTTTTTATTTTAAAAAACGTTTTATAGAATAATTATTAGTTACTCAATTTGTTACTTGTTTTTTTATATATTTTTTTCAGTTACTTTTTATATATTTTTTAAGTTATTGGTTATTAACCAATGGTTAAGCATGATTTACTTTTTATTATTTTGTTAACCATCAGAGGGATTACATAAATATATTTCTAGAGTATAGCATATGTGTTTTTATTTTATTATTTATTAATAGTGATTTGACCTATCATGCTATTGGCATGTATATAAATTATTGTATATAGTATGTAAAATTACTTTATTTTTACCTAGTCCATGTCCATGAATTTGTTTTTAATAAAAAACTATCCAAAAAATATATAAGTACTTTTAGCATATATGCTTAACTATAGTTAATTAAATTAATAATAATAATACTTCTTTTAATACATACAACATATAATGCAATATTGTCGCGTTCGACGATATAAATTTATTAAATAAAATCAAAATAAACTATGAATGGCGAATAGTTTATTAGGATTGTCGTCTCTGGTTCTTCCAATACTTGATTGAATCGAGCGGCTCAATCCGAGCCGATTCTCCATGCGATACAAAAAATCAACTTTGGCGTAAATTCGAATGCATTCATTTCTCTCGTCTTCCACGTTCCGCTCGATGACACGCAAGCGCTTTCGATTCGAAAGGTTCGAAGTATTCGAATACTTTGTTGAGAATCGAATGCATTCGAATGCACGCCAGAATCGAATACTTCGATTATTTGTATTCGAATAGTCCCTTCACTACACACAAAAAAATCTAATATCAATTTGAACAAATAAGTTATTTGAAATAACATATTTTCAAATAATTAGGTTTAGGTTAATACAAATAAGGTTTATCCACGACTACCTTATAATATATACATTATAAGAGAGTTTTCTAAAGCAAAATGATAGTCATATTTCACAGAGTGAATAATAGCAGTGAATAATCATTATTCACTGGTCTATAGTTCCTATAGGACACACGATATAGATTGTATCTGGCAAGCACTTATAAGTTCGTCTAGGCAATTATAGCCAGGCACTTTAATTAGCTAACTTTATACCAATCATAAAAGTCTTGTTAAAGTATTACTTTAATATGTTTTTTTAATGCAATTGAATACAAATTTAACATTAAGTAGACTATTTCAAGTAAGTAAGCCATTGACATGACAAGCTTAGCATAAATTGCTGTCAATTTGAAACGTCATAACTTCGATTCAGCACAAGATTTTTGTTACAAATTATTATTAAGCTTAAATTATACATAAAAAATCAAAGCGTGAAAGATGAAGAGATGTTACGCACTCAACAAAACATCACAGAAGTCACTTTTCGAAATACGAATTACCTAAAAAATCACATTCATTGGAAATAAAATACTGCACAATCTATAAATAATTGAATCATCAAGTAGGTAGTAACTGACAACTAATAATTATTTGAAACGTCAAATTTTAACGACGCGGTGGTGCAATAATAATTACTGTTAAAATTATAATTTGCTTTTAAAAATACGTTAACAATGGAAATTGATAGTGAGGAAGATATATTGTGTATACTCCACCGGAGATAACAGAAGCTGCAAAAGTCACTTCCCTGAATTTGTTGCCTGAGAAATCCCAAAATTTGTACGTATCTGTGTACAACACCTTTATGGACTGGAGAGCGACCAAGAAAATTAATTTATTCTCAAAGTCAGTTTTACTGGTATATTTTATATATATATTACAATTAATATAAATAAATAGTTTTAAAAATAGTCACAGGCATCTTTAATTTTTGGTTTTGTTAATGTCAAATAGGTTATAATAAATATAAATTTTTTTGCATTAAAATCCGTTGAAAGTTAATGGTAGTCGTGGACAAAGCATAGTATTCTACTCACATATAATGAGCTATTATTCACTCAGGTTAATTATGCCACTCGCTACGCTCGTGACATAAAATTAACCTTCGTGAATAATAGCCCTCATTATATGCTCGTATAATAATATACTATTATTCTGTTACCAAAATTAATTCATAGCAAGTATAATATATTGTTAAATATAATCATTAAATTGAATATAAAAATATATATTTTTATGTATATCAAAGATAACTAAATTTAGCTATAATAATAACAAAACATCCCTGTGAACACTTGCTTTATACTTAAAACATCCTTACATGTAATCATTCCAATAATAAAAAGTGACACTATCATTATTTTAATAATAAAATCGTACTCAATCTTCAAATTGAGCATAACAAAAGAACCGCGCAAAAATACGTTCTACAAAGAGGGCGGCATCAATCTTCTTTGGAATAATTAAGTAAACTTCCGATGCGCGTGGACCTGTTTTGTGTAATTATTGTGCCTGTGGTTTGTTCTGTGGTGGTGATTGTGTTATTTTTTAAAGAAATAGTATTTCTGAAATACCTATTATGGAGGAATTGCTTAGAACATGGGGTATCCTGACGAAGTAATAAATTCATTTCTACGTAAGTACCATAGTACCACAATTGTGCATAGTACAAAAAAATATTTGATATTTTTTCACATCATAAAGTCATTTGTATTGCTTTACCCTTTACAACAAAGCATAAATGACATTTGGTGGCTATACAAACATTTTGTTTACCTATTAGGTATTATCATTGTGTACTAAACATGTATAGTCTTATTTTGATGTATATTGCAGTAGGTAGTTTAGAGTATAAAATTTTATCTACTTATTATCAGAGACCCTATATAAATGTATTAAGAATTTGTGGTTTGAAACAACAGATTTAGTTAAATCAAACAAATAATAGTTGGGCTAACCAAACCTTTTTTTCTGTGTATGATAAGTGTTACACTTACAGTAAGTATAATTCAATTTAACCTAAAGCAAGATCTAATTTAAATATTAACATATAAGAATACAAGCCCAGCATATTCTTATTTAAACCTTAAACTACATATGTCTCAATTAAAAAATAGTTTTACTCCGATAAAAGACAAGCTATATATTAACATATATAATAATTATTTAATTTTAATTATTTTAAATTTGAACTTAAACTATATTTAATCTAAATAAAACCAATTCTAAATAGGCCCATAAGATAGTTTTAAATTGAAGTTAAGGCTAATATTAAATCGAGTTTAAATTTAAATTTACACCTATAACATAAGTACTCTCGAGTTAAATACAAAGTTGGTATACATTTGGTATAAAAGTTAAAGAAAAGGTAATTTTAACGTACACTCAGAGAAATATCATGTCATGAAAAGCATATGAAATGATATTAATTTAAATAATCGGGTAAATTTGATTCAAATAGAAAAAAATGTAGTTTTATATTCATTTACCAACAGTTTTACAATGTTTTTAAACACTTTTAAAGCGTACTCTCTTTAAAATATATATACAAAAAGAAATCTATTTATTTCATTGCCTTTCTCAACGTTATTTTAAAAATATATGTATTATACAATTGTTATACACCTTTTAATTTAATGAGAAACACCAATGACGCCAAACTATATTTGAATCCCTTTGAATTATTATCGTTTTGAATGATTCTACAACATTTTTTCTCTCAGTGTAAGCATACACTAATCTTGCTCCTATTCACGACTATGATAGTTTCATACTGATGCTAATAGTTTCAACTAGAGATTAGATTTTTTTGTGTGTAATGTACATAGTATTTTTAATAAACATTTAAAAAACCGACAGATATTTTTTAACTACATATTTTACAGTCCGAGTCCGAGAATGACCTCTCAAAAAATCCTCGAGAATAAAAAATATATACATTTTACACTAATAAACTTTTCACTTACATGCATACCGCATGCGGTAAAATAATATAGAAGTAAAAAGTGTATATTAAAGAATTTACCTTATCCAAATTGACATTGTTGAAGGGAAACCATTTCCCGATAAAAACGACGACCGGACGTCCCATCCTGTCAACTCCGCTCTGGTACAGACATCCGATTCCCGACACTTCGCTTAAATCTTCTGATCGAGCGCGTCTCAACAATTTCTCGTATCTAAAACAAAATTATTACATTGAATAAAAAGACGAATTGCTTTCTTAATTAAAAGCATAAGTTTTGTAATTTAACCCCAAATTACGGTTGTTATTTTCAGTGGCGGACCTAGGGGAGACGAAGGGGGTAGCCGAAGTCAAGAAATAAAAATTTGATTAATAGTTAATAATTATTAGTTTAAGGCATATATGCTAACATACAGTATAGCAATATACAAAATATATTACTAAAATTATTTAAAAAATTGTATTCTAAATAATAGAATGTGGTTTTCTTAATAGTAACCTGGGATAAGTTAAAGGCTATTGATTTAATGTTAGTGGATGTACTGTCTGTCCACTCTAAGTTGGCGGAACTAAGGAATTTTGTAGTTTAGATATTAAAGAATTGTCGTACTGTGTGCTTCTAAAACAGATTTTATATTATAAATAATACTAGCACATATTATATACTAGTATTATTTATAATATAAAATCTGTTTTAAAAGCACACAGTACGACAATTCTTTAATATCTAAACAACAAAATTCCTTAGTTCAGCCAACTTAGAGTGGACAGACAGTAGGTTTGTTGTTAATATACTCAGTTTGTTCCAAATATTTATGAAAATATTAGAAATTATAATATAAATTGGTAACTGTTATTTTATGATAAATAAACTTAAACCTTGGTATGCTGATATTAAGTTTAAGTTGCAATAATTATCAGCATTTGAATTTTATTGCAAAATATAATATTCTTTATAATATCAATCAAAAATTAACTTTTAGGAGATGAATTATAACTATCATTATAACCGAGTTGTGCGAAAAGTAAAAAGGTAACTATTAGCGAATGAGTTATTAACAGCTGATAGGCATGATGTACGCCTAAGTCAGTGCACTGAGAATACTCATGCGGTGAGGTTGATATAATGACAGGCCAGAATTAGAGAACTTTGGGGTTTGTACTTACTTATTATAAATATCTAGTTTTGCTTTTCCAAAAAATGTGCTATATAGGAGATATGTCATAATTAATACGCCGAAATCGTGTTTTTCCACCATGATAGAAATAACAAGCGTTTGAACCATGAGGTTTTTTGTTGCTGTTTGCATAATCATATGCTAACATAATACTTACTTTCATAGATTAACTATTAGCTGATGGAAAAATAATTGATAACTCAGAAAATGTGATTATTATAATAAAATACTAATAGAAAACCAAATAATATAACAGTTAGTAAATACAATATTTAAAATAATAAGGTAATTTTAATAGTTATTAAAGTGACTTAACTATTAATATTTCAAAACCTTTCTATTAATAAATACTTCTTTATACCTTGTAGTATTATGACTGTTAGTTCATATAGGTTTGGCAGAATACGAATCCACTAAAGGGTAACTATTACCTTGTAACAGTTAATGTTATTATTTCTTTTTCTCTGTACAACTAACTGCTGTCTCCGATAAACATGTCTATTGACATGCGAAATTTTCCCGCTGCATCACACATGTGAACCCAAAGCACAACTTTTTCGCATGTTACCGCGTAAAGCAAAGGGGGCGCTCGGATCGCCCAAACAAACTTTCCTCCTCGGTGGGATTGTATACGGCAAGTTGTATTTGTAAAAACTATTGTTCACTAGAGGTCGTTATTTCGATAACGTTATTTTGGAACGTTATTCATTAAGAACGGAACGGAACGTTACTGGAACTAAAATAACGCGTTACCAGTTATTTTGTATGTAGCAGTTAAGAGTTCCTATAACTTACGGTATACCGTTCCATCGTTCCGCTGAACAACATCGTTATTTATAACAATGGAACGGCATAACTTATACCGTTCCATCGTTCCGTTGTATAACATCGTTATTAATAATGATTTTGTTATTAATAACGATGTTGTACAACGGAACGGTATAAGTTACCTAACTTAATTATAAAAAATTAAGTAACGGTATTAGTTAACTTAATTATGTCCATATGTATAATAACTTTAAACTGTATAATGTCTTTTGCTTGAGTCACTTTGTTATTGACTGGATTTAGATTGAAATATAACATTTGTTATATTGCCTTAAGGCACATACTAATATCAAACTGTAATGTTTTGAGACAAATAGGTACTACAAGAAAACTAAATCTCAACTCTGAGGGTTATTTAGTAACTAATAAAAAAACTAATTTTAGACCTTTCAAATGTGACGTATCATGTTAAAAGCCATAATTACTCCAACGAAATGATAGAAAATCAGGAACACTAGATTTTTAAGCTGTATGAGTTTTTTTTGTTAGCGATAGTCTATCTCAAGCTTTGTTTCTTTTCACGGAATTCACCCACAAACAAACACACTTTTGCCACCATTTGGGTGTAATTTACTGACTATGGTGTAATTTGGCCGTTATTTTAAATGAACTGTGACAGTTTAAGGAATATATGTCATTCCAAATTAAAAATTAATATACATATATTAGAACGGTTATATTCCGCAATAGGAGTAGAAAATAGTTATTTATGTCATTAGGTTAAGAAGTAAGGCTTTTTGTGCTAAGCTCAAAGTTTGAAGGCCGACGCGTAGCGGAGGCCTACAATTGAGCGAAGCACAAAAAGACACTTCTTGGCCGAATGGCATACAACATTTTATCTTCAAAGCACTTTATATAGGTCAATTTAATTCAACATGAAAGCGGCCTAACCTCACTTTTTTAGAATCTCATTTTTTTATTAGCTAAAGATTATAATCTTTATGTATACATTAAATGTACAATAATTATTATTCCTTTTAGAAGCAGTAATAGTTTGACAATACCTAGCTACATGATTTAAGTAGAAATGGATTTTTGTAAGAAAATGGTTTACTTACCCTTACATTGAATTCAATTAATTGTTTAATAAATAGGTATCTAATTTCAATTTGTTTGCATTTTTATTAAAAAAAAATAGGTACTTTGGAATGTTTACGCTGTGTTTAACATTTAATTTCACTGAAAACTTAAAGCAAATTAAAACTTAAAGATAATTTAAATCGTAGAAAAAGAAAACACAACTGTGAAATCCACAGAAACGTCAAATTCAATGTCCTAACCTCACTTTTTGTTTTATTATTCATATTTAATTTTACAATTATTTAATGAAAAATAGTAAACATTAACAGTATAACAAACAAATTAGTGCTTTTTATAAATAAATTAAACCAGTTTAGTACGTTAATTTCTTAGAAAAGGATTAATTTGTCAAAACAATACCCCTAGCGAGAAAAAATCGAACTAATTACTTGCCTCATAAAATTTTTTATCCGCCTAGGCCATAACAAGTTATTTCTTTATCGAATGTTGACAACAATAAAGTTTAAATTATAGACCGCCTGGAGATAAATATAATTATTTACCTACTTAATTGTCGGTAGAATTATACACAATTTCTTTAGTTTACTATAACAAAAATAATCTAATAATATAAATAATAAATAATAACATAAAAATTAAATAGTAATTACTAATAGTTACTAATAAGAAACTTAATAAGAAATTTTTAATTCGTTGTAGCAGCAGGAACGAGAAAGATAACGCAAAAAACTATACCATCAATCATATAATCCTAACTAAACTTGTTCATTAAAATGTGACGGTACACTGTTCAAAATCAAGCCTTTTGAAATACCTAATCAGAATTAGTTAAGGAAAAATAAGGTAATATGCTTATACGAGTAAAGCAATTTACCTTCTCGTTTATTAGGCAGAAACGAATGTCTTAGTTCTATGGTGTATTCACTAACTTCTAGATAAATATTCATACTTTAATTAATAAACTTATCAAATTTAAAAAGATAGGCAGATTACCTAAATATTTAGTCAAAATCTCAATTACTTTTAGGTACGACAATTTTGATTTTAATTTAGGTAATTCTTTTAAATTATTATGGCAAATTATTGAACTAATTTAGGTAAATTCCCTTAAATATTAGTGACTTACTTACAATCGCTAATACCGACGTTTTACGATAAATATTCGCGCGTATATTGTCCACCAGAATGCCAAAATCAACGAAAGCTTAAAGACCGCGTTGTGTGCTATTGCTATAACAACAGTTAACAATTATTGTGCTATAAGTGAACATTTTGTATACAATAGTGCTATAGTTAAGTAATTCAAAGTAAATGGAATTTCCCATTGACCCCAATTTATTTTTAAATAATCCCAACCCTGCAGGGTTGGGATTATTTAAAGGGTTCCGGTACTACACACAAAAAAATCTAATATCAATTTGAACAAATAACATATTTTCAAATAATTAGGTTTAGGTTTATACAAATAAGGTTTATTCTGTTACCAAAATTAATTCATAGCAAGTATAATATATTATTAAATATAATCATTAAATTGATTATAAAAATTTATATTTTTATGTATATCAAAGATAACTAAATTTAGCTATAATAATAACAAAACATCCCTGTGAACACTTGCTTTATACTTAAAACATCCTTACATGTAATCATTCCAATAATAAAAAGTGACACTATCATTATTTTAATAATAAAAACGTACTCTATCTTCAAATTGAGCATAACGTTCTACAAAGAGGGCGGCATCAATCTTCTTTGGCATAATTAAGTAAACTTCCGATGCGCGTGGACCTGTTTTGTGTAATTATTGTGCCTGTGGTTTGTTCTGTGGTGGTGATTGTGTTATTTTTTAAAGAAATAGTATTTCTGAAATACCTATAGGTAATATATTATGGAGGAATTGCTTAGAACATGGGGGTATCCTGACGAAGTAATAAATTCATTTCTACGTAAGTACCATAGTACAAAAAAATATTTGATATTTTTTCACATCATAAAGTCATTTGTATTGCTTAACCCTTTACAACAAAGCATAAATGACATTTGGAGGCTTTACAAATATTTTGTTTACCTATTAGGTATTATCATTGTGTACTAAACATGTATAGTCTTATTTTGATGTATATTGCAGTAGGTAGTTTAGAGTGTATAAAATTTTACTTATTAG